CCAAAACCCTCATCGCCTGAGCAGTTCACCTCCAGTCAACTGCATACTGCCATAAAAAATAACCTCCCTGGGGGTTACATATTTTGCAACTTAAAAACACATACATAACATACAAAATATGCACTGACTATTTGCATTTGGTAAGGTTTCTGGTCAACAGCAGGCCAGAAACAGTTAAGTGTTGGGGAAGCCAACAGTTATCTGTGAATTTTCAATTATTCTTATAATTTTCTTTGAGAGCTATATTAGATCCAAATTAAATTTTAAAAAACAGAATCTGTACAAAACAGAGAAAGAAAATTACACATATAAATACTTCCTAAGATTCAGGTCCAAGAAAACAACCAACTCATTCCTTGTGAATGTTTTTCTAAAGAAGTATGGAGCCTCAGACAGAAGCTAGAGGAGGCAACAGAGGAGGAAATACCAGAGGGTAGGCAGAGCGGGTGGGGAAAGGGTAAACGCAATAGTCTGCACAGACACAACCCCAGCTCTGCTTCAGGGGCTGCAACCTTGACAGGTGGCTGCATGAAGAACCACAAGTAGGTGTTGTGACCAAGGGCATCTGATCCACAGAATCACACCAAAGCCACAGCAGGGACAGCAAGGCCTCGGCCAGCCAGGTGACACCAGCAAGACGGCCAGTGAGAGTCGCCAAATCCTCAGCAAATACTGCAAATAAACCAGAGGCTGCCTGGGCCAGCTTTCAGCTCCTGCTCCTCTTCTGCTTCCCTGCAGGGATGTTGTCACTGTGGACGGTGAAGGTCTATGTTTATACCAGAAAGCTTTTTGCCTGCCTGGCTGACCTTGCAGCACATATGTGATCAAGAGCAGAGAAATAGACATTGAAGAAGAACAAATGCCACAATCGCTAACAATAGTGAAAAAAATTGTAGGGCACTCCCACTGATCTTTCTAGAATGGATCCAACTGAAATTTGATGGTTCTGAATCTTGGCCCAAAGTACAAAGCAGTGCTTCTAGGTCAAACATTAAGAAGCATCACCTTTCCTGCAAGAGGAGCTGAATGGAACTCGGAAGATGTGATAGGGTCTATTTCAGAATCAACAGCAGATCCTGCCTTAAAAACAAATATACTTTAAAGTCTTACTTGGATCAAAACAGGGAAGTACAAGGTTCAAAATGTGTCGGTTTTTGTTGATGTTCTGATTCTAACTTACTATTCCTTCCAGAGATCTTTGTAAAAAACAGCACTCAAAATAGGGCTGTAAGATGGCCTTTTTCCCTTTATAATATTTTAAACATTATAATACATAGTTATCCTTTTGTTTGAGTAGGAGATACACAAAAAAACCAGTAGCTGTCAAATCCTAATAGAGCATTCAATGTAGCTCTCAAAAAGACTGTTGTGGAAAAGGCCAGTGCTATCCTATCGGGTGTGATCATCTACGAACTAAAACTCCACTCATTAAAGTAGTAGCAGGAAACAGAGGAACCTATGAATAACCTCATTTGGAAAACTTTGAAAGAAATGGAAGGAGAAAAAAAATTTTTTTGGACAATGAAGATGCTTTGAAATTTTTGGACAATTTTTTATAGACAATGAAGATGCTTTGAAAAATTAAGGTATCTTTTATATCAAAATAACTACAGTTTTACGTAATTCCCTCCACTGCCTATGACTTTTTTCATGACTGATAAAGTCTTGATTCTACAATTCATGCCAGCTCTACCAATTATAAACTCTGTGTCCCTAGGAAGTTTTGCATCCTTCCTCTTCTGTGCCTCAATTTCCCCATCTGCAAAACAGGAATACAGCGGAAATGTTCTGAGCACTGACTAGGTCTACACCTGAAATACAGTTTGCACTCAGTAAGGATTAACTGACATCACTGATATTATCACCAGCACAGTAAAAATTAGAAGAATGAGTAAATGTCACAAAAGTCATTTTTTCAAGGACAAATATGGTACTGATGCAAGAATCAAACAGATCAGTGGAAGAGAATACATATCCCTAAAACATGTGTGCGTGCACGCAGCATACCCACACACACAGTTTTTAAAATATAACTCATGAAACATAACAAGCTAACTAGAAATAGTTTATTTAAAAAACGAACTCAGTAAACTGGCTAATCTGGAAGAAAACCAACTAAGAATCTCATTGTATATAACATTCAAAATAAATCCAGATGGAGCAACAGTGTTTTTTTAAAAAAGCATGTAGAAGAAACAGGTAACAGTTTTTACGTGAGAAGGAGAGGCAGGGAGGGAAGCAGGAAATGAGGAAAGTGACAACAGAACAACAGAATTAATAAATAGAAAAGTTTATTTGTCATACAAAAGACCTCTTTAAGCAAAAAAAAAAAAGAAATGAACCAACAACTTAGATTAAAATAAACTTACCCAATAAACAACTGAAAAACATTTAACCTCATTGGTGGCTTAAAAATGCAAAATGAAGCAGTGTATGTTTTTAATTTAAAATCAGTATAGTGCTCAGCCCTAGCAAAAGCACAGCAAGCCAAAGATGTTCTCGAACTGGCAGTGGGCGCAAAGTGACCCAGGTCCAGGACACAGGTCCAGGAGCCTCCACAGCATCACACAGCCCGCCAGGGTCTCGCCCCCTCCTCGCCTGCACTTCGCTTCCAGGCTCCTCCCTGGAAACCATCGCAGCTGTAGGCTCCCGTGCAGTGTCTGGCTGCAAGGTTACTCCTAACAGGGATTGCAGCCTAGGCGTGCAGCAGCAGGGGGCAGCTTGCAAATCCAAGATGGAAACCCCATTATGACATATGAAACCATTAAACAGCAGTTTTGAGAATTATCGGGTTCTGAGACCATTTCCATGTTATTCAGTCATACTGAGGGAAAAAAACCAAAAACAAACCAGGCCTATAAAATTACTTATTCCATTTGTTCCATATCTGGCTGACTAAGTTGTTGTTTTTTTTTTTTTTTTTTTTTAAAAAAAGGGCAGAAAAAATATATATAACAGTGACTAGCTGAGAGATCAGCTTATACGCTATTCATATTTTAAGTTTCGTTGTTATTTTACAAATTTTTTACCATATAAGCATAGAGAACTTTCAACAGTAAATGGTGTCAAATACAAGATGTCATCCAAGGAAGGAGCAATCAACAACAGCCAAGGCTTTTAAGCACTTTCTAAAACCTACTGAGTCCAGGTGTTTACCACCTACTCTGCTTCCTTATTTCCCTCAGCACCTGAGATAACCTGGCTCCACCTGCTTCCTGTCTATAGAACATGACCAGAGTTCCTGCAGGAAGGTAGGTAGGTACCTAGGCCCCCTCTTCACTCTTCCCAGCCTCAAGCTGCCTCCAGCCCTGGCCAGTTGTTTCTCTGGAGACAAAAAGACAGGCATGCCAGCCCAACCAGAAAACTGTTTCTCTTACAGTTTTCATAGTATTTTAAAAGAAGAAGCAACGCGTGGTACATGACTATAATCCTAGCACTTAGGAAGCTGAAACAGGAGGATCACCATGAGTTTGAGGTTAGCCTGGGCTACATAGTGAGTTCAAGGCTATCAAAAAACCAGAAAAAGATTCACATTATCTTTTGCCCAGAGAGAAATTTTTACCAATATAGAATACTTCTTGACTTGTTAGAATGTGCATTTCCACACGTACCCACCCAGCATGATGCAGTAAAATGTTGTGTAACCTGGAGGGAGGGACACCTGCCTGAAAAAGGGCTCCCAAAACTTCCAGCTTTCCTGGTCGTTTGAATGGCCAGTATCAAAAACTGTCTCTTTATTCTCTATTTTTGATATGTAGGTAATTTAATTTTTAAAATAAAAGCAAAATGAACTCCTTCCTCCTTTCTTTATCTCCATAAAAATACATAGGAGAGGGGAAATATTTTTGCTCTAGAAAAGAAATCCAAGACCTTGTGTCAGGACCTTTCTCACCTGGAACATGAATGTCTGCATTTAGTAATCAGAGTACAAAACCTAGAAGTCTGCTCTTATTTTTTCATTAAAAACAGATGCAAGCTCTTGATCCACTCGCAGAGGAGCGCTTATGCAATCCTGCAGCTAGACAATAAGCACGTGAGCACACTCTCCTCCCGGCATTGTCTGCTCTGAGCACAGTAAGGAAAGATCAATTCTTCATATTGATCTGCTGTCCAAAGCCAGGCTCTTCCCCTGAATTTCATTAGAAGCAGTTCACTTGCAGTCTGAACATTTAGATAGAGAGGTTATATAGCTGAGTGGGAAATAACTAGAAAAACACATTTTCTGACTGCTCCAGTGCAACACAGCAGCCACCACAGCCCCGAGGAAGGCAGGAAGAAGGACGGAGGAGGGAAAAGGAGGCGGAGGAGCAAAGAATTTGAGGGTTCAGGACAGTAGCAAGACTGTGGACCCCACCAGCTCTCTGAAATTGAGGTTCTTCTGGCAGGCTGTATCTATACTTTTTAGCAGGCTGAGGGCAGTCAACAGCACCCAGCCCCCATTAAAAAACTCAGAAACAAAAAAAGCTTCTCATGCAGAAAATTCTAGGTTTTCCTGTGAATTCTATCAAACATTCAAAGAAAAATGAATACCAGTCATTCACAAACTCTTCCAAAAAGTACGATAGGAGGCAACACTTCCCAACTCATTCTGTGAGGTCAGTATTGCCCTGACTCCAAAGCCAGTTATATTCCAAGAAAAGAAAGTTGCCAACTATACCCTTATGAACACAGATGCAGGTATTCTCAATAGAAAAAGCGGATAAAAGACTTGTACAAAACACATGGGAAGACACAGAAAGGACCTTTCTTTGCGAACGTTGCCAGCTGAGCTCATGAAAAAGTCACCTACACTGAATATATGTGACAAGGACTTGACCTATGCACCAGCACGACAGCAAACTACAGCTTATCTTTATTGAGGTTCAATTGGCTAGAACAATTTTAAACTCTAAAAAGGCAAATCCAGCCTCCCAGTAAAAGCAAAAGTCATTCTGTCCCATGGCCTGTGAATTCCATAATCAAAAGTGCAGAGGAGCTCACTCGCAGAAGCTCATACTCACATTCTTCAGGACAGGAAGTGCCAACTGCTCGAAAGAAGCCACATCAACCACATACTGCCCAACTCGGCAGTCACACCTCCCGGGCTGTGGCTCTGACCTGAAAGAAAAGACAAGTGTTCTGTGGAAAAAGTACTGTGTTCTAGTGCTGGGTGCACCACTAATTCATTCTCAGTCACACAGGAGGCTGCTGTGACTCAGCCTGCCCATGGAGAAGAGAGCTGTGCATAAGTGTCCCCAGTACCACCAAGGGGCATCCTTTTCTCACACCTTGGCCCTGTATCTCCAGAAACGAGGCACTAACTCTAAAAACTAGTTCTAGACAAGAGGCTGAGAATTACAAAAAGAATATGTATAAGTACACAACCTGAGTTTAAGTGAAATACGGCCTTTGTAACCTTGTTTTCCACAGAGTGATCTCTATTCTTCCTCTGAGAAAGCTCTAAAGGATCCAAGATTCATCAAGACATACATCGGCTTAAGCTGAGCCAGGGAGAAATCTCTCAGCCTGGAGGGAAGGCAGAGCAATCCCCAATCCTGCCAAAGGTTCTGGAGAAGTTAGCTCCAGGCAATTAGAAACACTTTTAAGACATAGACAGGAGTATCAAATCCAGAGTTAAAACCCCACAGAACAGAAATATCAGTTACCTGACCCTGGAAAGTGGCCCCCGAGCACCAGACAAGGTGACCACATCAAATCCTGTCCTCCTCCCTCCCTGCCTGACTTCTTCTGTGTAAAATCCATCCACAGCCACCCCAAAGGACTGGAGACGCTCACTGGCTTTCTGAATCAAGGTGGTTTTTCCAACCCCTGAAAGAGAAAAGAGAAGAGAAGGGTCATGAGATTAGAAATTAGAAGAGAAGGGACCTGCTGCTGTTGTGCATACACAGCACAGACTCTGGGGGGTAACCGTGGTGAGCAGAGCTACATGGGCTACACATGAATTTTATGGACACTAATTGAGCTGTATTTTATTCCCACCAGATGTTATACATTTTTCAGTTCAGTAGAAATAATAATAAAACATGAGTGGTATCTTGAAGTTTGGGTTCTGAAACACTGCTACTTTTGTTATATATATAAAATCCTATAACTCACTATGACTCTGATAATACTGTCAAATCCAGTTTGCATCCCAAGTTGGGCTTCAACTTCTCCTAGCTTCACACTTCACCTTCTCTACCTTGAAAATGACACTGTTCATACTACCACTGGAGACCAAAACTCCAATCTTCAAGAGACAGCCTCTTTACTATACCCCTAATTCCTGAAAATGTTTCTCCTAAATCTCATGAGCACCCTCCACGTGGTCACTTTTGACTTCTTCAGAAGAGCAATCCCATCAGGTGGACAGCCCCTCTCAGCATCATCTACAGAGTCCCTTAGCATCATTTCTGCTTGCCTCCAATAGGTCCCAATACCACTATCTGCAAAGCTCCAATCTCCCATTTGCCCTCATTCATTCCAATGTCAACTAAATGATGGGCCCTGAGAATCTCTTTAATTCATCACCAATCCCTTCCTTATTACGCCCATTACACAGTCCCCAAACATCTATTCTGCAAGACCCCAACCCCTCTAATCACATTAAACTCTCCAGACTCCCAAAGATTCCCTTCTGCTCATTGCTAACCCGTCCAGCATCACTTCTCTACGGTCCCTAGGCATTCCTCCTGCTTGCCTCAACCTGTCTCAAATCAAGGCCTCTGCATCTCCACCCTGTCCCCCTCCACCTCTGGCCCTTGCTTCCCTCACAACTGGCCTGACTGCTCAGATGATATCACCAATGTTTACAAGTACCAAGAGCTACTGTCCCACACAGTTAGACTAAGTGACAATGTGAAGGGGCAGAAATTGGGGCTCCTGTAAGTCCTCACAACCAAGACACGGAAGGTTCCAGAAGATCTGCAACTGGCGCTAAGGTCACAATCCTGTTATTTCTGTTGCCATCCTCATAGAGTCATCAAGATGCCTTTTAGTTTTCTTGAAATAAAATATGATTCCTTATTCTTAATACATCTTTGCTATAAACTTCACACTAAAATAAGGGCACCTGCTGACCACTGACCGGAACGTGGACAGCACAGACAGACCTTTTCTAAAGAGCAATTTCAGTGTGCCACCACAGCATCAGCAGTTCTGTGACTGCAAATTTATCCTCAGTGAACAACCTGATTAAAGGACAAAGAAGTGTGAAATCAAAAGTTCACTGCACCATTCTTTGTAACAGTGAAACACTGAAAACAATCTAAGTGTCAGTCAGTAAGGAATGCTGACTTAGGACACCGTGTATACCGCAGCACATAAATAACACAAAAATACCATGGAGCCATCAGTAGGAGTACTGTTTACTTATACAGATTAGCATGAAAATAATTCATGGAAAAATCAGGCTAACTAACCAAAAAACATATAATTTTATTTCATTATAGTTTTTTAAATAGGCAAAATATGTATGTTTACCCAAAAAAAGGTCAGGACAGAACAAGAGGTTACAAAGCTTATGTCTATAGGTTTTCCATGTGATTGTCGCTTTCTCCTTTAAAATATTTTTAATGTTTTTAGTTATTGTTCTTACACTGGGCAGGTATTACTTATTCCAAGAAAAAAAAATACACTTATACTGTATTTTGAAAAAGGCAAAATGGAGGAACACAACTCTCATCCAAAGGAGGGACTTGTATATTATGCAGAATACACTAACAGGAAATACTCGGGTCAGACTTTTTTTTATTTCTTCAGCTCTAGAAATCTTTCAGCTAACTTTTCATCTTCATTAGCTGAGCTGCTACTCTAGAGCTGTCTACACTTGCTAAAACGTGATCTCAGCTAAAGGACATATAAGATGATGGTCACATGCACACAGAGGAGAGCAGGTCAGAAAACCCACAATTATTCCCTTATACAAACTCTTAGATAAAGGGTTCGAGTGTATGTAGCTGAACTTGGGACATGACAAACTCGCTGGTACAGAAGTAAGGAGATGAGAAAGGGAAAGACACCATCAAGGGATGCCTTATCAAGCAAGTCACCTCTGTGCTCAGCTGGAGCTCAGTTCACCTACAGAGCCCTAAGAGGTATTTTGGGGCTCAAGGCTCAGTTGTCTTGAGGGGTGAGAAAAAGAGAAGTTGAGCCACTAACTTTCCCCAGTCATGGGTGGAAGGCCAACAATTCGGAGAGGTAGGAGCTCCATGGTGCTTCCAGCCAGTGAAAGCTGGAAAAACGCTGACTGGCAAGGGTGCCAAGGGTTTGAACAGCAACAGTTTGGGACACAGCTAGTAACAGATTGAAATAAAACCAATGAGAACACCAGATAGTAACTTCAAACCAAGGGGAGAGCTGTGTATACATAAAGGAGGAACGAATTATTAGCTGGTTCTGCTGCAATTAGTTTTTATGCTGTTATGGTATTCCAAACACTATCAAGCTAATGAAAATTACACAGCAACTGCATTAGGAAGAAAAAGATGCAGAAGGCGAGTGGATTTGAACCCAAGTTCAAGAGATGTCTTGGAAGATTATGAGTCTTTGAATTTGTGCACCTGAACTTTCTATGAAGGGAGGAAAGAACCGCCAAGACTTTGCACAGCCTCAGCTTGGGGCAGAGATCCAAATGCATCCCAAGTTTTAAATGAAGTACTGGCACCCTGGCCTTTGGGGTTTGCTCGGTGCAATAGGTAGGCTGGGTCCCTAGGATCTCAGACATTTCTCAAACTGCCCTCCTTGGCCACACTCACACCCTCGCCGCCCCTACTGCCTTGTAAAATAAATATGTGAACTCTGCGACGTTAACTGTAACCTTTGCGACTGAAGGCCCAATGCGCTGTCTGAACCGCAATGACCGCCATCAGACCCGCCTGCTGGCACCGGATCCCAGGGCACCCTTTCTGCCCTCCTGCCCGACCCTCCTCCGACCGCAGGGTTGGGTGCGGCGCTGTGCGGGGAGCCCCCCTCCCAACCCGGGCGGCGGCGGCGCTACTAGTTCCCGGGGCCTGAGCTCGACCAGTGGCGCCACTTGTTGCGTAGGAGCGTGTTCCGGTTCCGAGACCAGGCGGGCCGGCGGGGGGCCCCGCGACCGCACACCTGGGCCGCACACCCGGCCACGCTCCTGGCCGCGCCACTCTCCGCCGCAGCCCCGCCCACAGCGCCGCCACCCAGTAGGTCCCGAAGGCGCGGGCCCCCGTGGTCACCTGGCGGCCCGGTGAGGAACACGTGCCGCGCCATGTGCAGGATGGTCGTGGTCCCCGCCGCCCGCAGATCAAGGTTCAGCTCTCGGCCGGCCCCGCCCCCGGAGAACTCAGGCCGGGTCCGCCCACCGACCGGAAGCAGTACTCTGCGCATGCGCCTGTGCTCCAGTGTGAGCCAGAGCTTGCACCTTTGCGGCCCCAGCTGGGGCGCGCCCTCCGCCCAAGTGCCTCAGGCTCCTGCCCGCTAATTGCTGAGCAGACCCAGTGCCCAGGGATACCTGTGCTACATTTTGAGGACCCTAAGGCCTTCAGCATTTGCTATGTTCTAGAGAGGATACTTCCTGTTCTGCCTGCTTTCCTCCCGAGGTGCTAAGTGTCAGATTACAGCAACTTTTCCTTTAAAGTTATAACTGGTTTTCATTGCATTCTAGAAATACCACAGAATAAGCATTCCCATTAACAGAGCAGAGGAAGCTGGCTTTATAGACAGAGACTGAAGAAAGCAGAAATAACAAGGCATGTTGATCTTTGCAAAGTTACTTCCCTTACAAGGTTAAAATGGGACAGTTTATTGTACTGACTCAAAGGGACTGCAATCAATTCCTGTTTTTTAGGAAGACTGGTCCATTTCAAACTTCGCTTTGATTACCAGGCACTTGTTACAGTGACTCCATTCTGATCAAGCAGGGTTCCTGGGCCTACTGCGGGGAGTTCAGCCCAAAATAATAGCCTCCTAGGCTGAGGATATAGCTCAAGGGCACAAGCACCAGTCTGGCAAGCATGAGGTCCTGAGTTTGATCCCTGGTACCAAAAAAATAAAAAACATGGGGGAGGGGTGAGAAGGACGGTCTCCTATAAAGGTTGCTTAACTGGAGTTAGTCATTAGTCTTAGGCCAGTCCTGAGCGTCTAATCTTGAAGGAAGTTCCTAAAACCCACTGGGCTTGAAAATCACTAGTCGAAGACGCTTCCCATATCCAGCCACTCGTATGAAACTGCCTCTGCTTCACACCTTTATTCCAAGTGTAAACCAACATTACAGCAGCCTGATGATCTCCTTCCTAAAGAATTAGGGGCTCTGAGCATCACTTAACCACTTCTGAGCATCACTTAACCACTCCAGCCAGTACAATAAAGTGACAATAGCTTCAGACCAGCTTTAGCTGTAAACTCTTTTAGTCTAAGGTGTACAGTTTGACTTGTGATCATTCTCCATCCTGAATGAGAAAATTATTTCAGGGTATGCTCAATTTAATTGGCTTGTTCTCACACACAGACTTCCTTAGCTTACTTTGTCCCACAATATATGGCTATCAGATGGCCTCAGTTTCCTGCTGTTTAAAAAAAAATCATCTTAAAAAACATGATACAGCTGCCACTATCATTCCTGGAACACTTATTATACTATGTACTGTAACATCATGTTATTTACCATGCCAACAGGTACAATGGGTCAGAGTTAGTGTTCTTCCACATCTTGCACCTGTAAATGAAAGCAGTCAATGAACAGCTGATGTAACACAGTAAACCCACAGATGGATCAGAGAAAGAGACGGGAAGAAGGAAGGAAAACATATATGAAATAATATTGTACAGAATTTCTTGTTTCCAAAACAAGAATTTTAACTGTTAAGGCTCGCAGAAGTTGAGTTATTTTCTTTTAGTGTTATATTATATGGAATTCTACCATCAGTTTTTGTAACTCAGAAACATACAGAATCGAGATATGGAGAATCAATGTCTCAAGGATAACAAAGAAAATTTCTCCGTAGATGAATGTTCTTTATCCATTTAAAACAAGTTTATGCAGCAATGGTTACATGGTTATACTATATGTAAATCATTGAACACTTAATTTGTAGAATTTTCTCTACGAGTTGTTATACATCAATAACAACATAAGTTAAAGAACATGTGTTTAAAAAAGGGATGACATAATTAGCAGCAAAGCAACTTAACAACACTGAGTCTCTCTTGCTTATCTCATCAAGGTGCCATGTGTGCAAAATAGGCTTTTTTTTTTTTTTCTGTCAAAGCATAAGGCCAAAGCAACTCCATTTTGAGTTTAAATTACCTGGCCACCTACTCACTATCCACTCCTCACCCCCCACCCCATTAATATTCTGAGCTCCAAGAAATGATGACTATGTCCCTTTTACCAGAGCACAGCTGGTGTCCAAGCTAAGGACCATGCCCTTTGTGTTCAGCAAGCCTCCTGTAACTTAGTCAGCAGTGCACACCCCATCCCCTTGCACCACTGGAGTTACTGAGGTAGAATGTAAGGCTTTGAAATCAGCTAGTGAATTTAAAGGTCAGTTGCTTCTGCATTAGAGATAAAAGGGGCAGCCCTCCTTTGTCCTGTGTGCCTGCTACCTCGTGCTTGCACCATTTTGCAGAAGTAAAATAAAATTCCTTGTCAGAATTTCTTGATGACATAATTAGCAGCAAAGCAACTTAGCAACACTGAGTCTCTCTTGCTTATCTCATCAAGGTGCCATGTGTGCAAAATAGGCTTTATTTTTTTTTTTTCTGTCAAAGCATAAGGCCAAAGCAACTCCATTTTAAGTTTAAATTACCTGGCCACCTACTCACTCTTGATGTCTAAGTGCTTTATAATCTACAACCATTATTTGAGTCTGAGGACTTATTTCCAACGTATGGACTGAATATGTGCCACCAGTTCATACCTGACATCTCACACCCTGATCTGATGGCGAGGAGGCAAGGTTTCTGGGAAATGATTAGGGCATGAATACGGAGCCCTCATGAATAAAATCAGTGCCCTTACAAAAACAGTTGGAATTGAGCTCTGCTCTACCTGTTCCTTGCTATGTAAGCATACAAGGAAGAGTGAGGAAAGATTTTTAATAAAGAACCTAATGGTGGTGGCATCCTGCTTTTGGAGTTTCTCCAGAATTGTGAGAAATATGTTTCTGTTGAAAACTTTTTTGTCTTTGGAATCCTATCATACTAGCCTGAGCTAAGCACAAGGTGAAAGTGCCCCAAGGACAGGTGAGTCTGGGTCTTTCTTCCTGTAACACCTGTGTGGTCTCCCTTGGATAGAAGCAGCACAATTCTTCACTGAGGCAGCGTGTAAGTCCCACTGCAGTCTGCAGTCATAGAATCTTAAAAAGTTCAAAAGCCACTGCTTGTTTTGTTTTCAGACCTCCCTGGGCCCTGGAAATCCTAGTTTGTTTGATTGATTGACTGATTGAGGTTTTTGAAGACAGGTGTGTGTAGTTCATGCTGGCCTTGCTTTCATTGTGTAGCCCGGGCTGACCTAAAACTCATGGCAATCCTCTCATCTCAGCCTCTTGAGCAGTAGGATGACAGGTATGTGCCGCCAAGCCTGGTAAGACAGTCCTAGATTTATAATTCCAGGTTCCCTTTCTGAGGAACCCCTTCAATCCCCAATTCATAAGCAGAAATGAAGGGAATTTTCTCTCCCTTACAAACCACTGGGAGAAAAAGAAGACAATGTTCAGAGTAAAGTGTTTAGGATAAGCAAAGAGGTGTGGGGAAAGAGGAGCAGAAGCAGCTTCTGTTTAGCTTTGTATTCCTTGCATGAGGAATGCTGACATGCTCAGCTATATTCATGATTCCACTTGGATCCATTCATGGAGGATTTACTATTTGTAAAATAATACGGTACTTGTTCTGCTTTGAATCTGTCTGTGATGAGTAGAGACAAAAAAAATTACTGCAACTAATGAATATTCAGCAAGCTGGCTATTGAATATACCTCTCTCTTTTCTCCCTTCCTCCTTTCTTCCTTTTTCTATTTCATTCCAGATGCTATGGTGAATAATAGGGACCAAACACAATTTTGAACAGCTTTGGTTTTGATGAGAGTAAGTCCAAAGCATTGCCTGTTAGACCTGAGGTCCAGGTTTTGAAAAAAATTCAAAATATTCATGTTTTTTTACTCAACATAAAAATACCTTTATCCTAGCTCAAAAGGAGAAGAGTTACTTTCCCACCCTTTTGGGTTGCCTACCTTGTCAAATAAAAGTTGCCATTGAGATAGCTGGCATTGCATTTGAGCCACAACATTTTCATACCATATATCTAGCAAATGGTAATAGCTACATTCATGTAGTGCTATCTGTATGCCAATTGCAAATCATATTAATCCCTCAAATCATCACAAAAATGTCATCTTATATGTGGAAAAACCAAAGCACAGAGAAGTTAAGGGACATGCTCAAGGCTGCCACTTTGCATGCATCTATCCATGCACATGGATATATATGTAGATGCTCCTCATGAATATACAGCCTGATAAATCCAATGTAGTTGGAAATGTCCTCAGTTGAAGACTCTCATAATATAAACCTACAGAGCATCACAGCTTTGCAATGCAGCATACAATAAAGTATTAGTGGTTCAGCTTGGGATGATGTGGTGACCTGGGGGCCACTGAACAGGGCATAAAGAATATAAAACCTCATAGTGCTATCTCAGGAAAAGAGTCAAAGTTAAAATTCAGAAGGATTTTCCTGCTGGGTGTGTATAACTTTCACACCACTGTAAAGCAGAAAAAATCATTAGTTGAACCATCTTGTCAGGACTGTCTGTATACATGTGTGATATATATAGACACCTACATATATAAATATATGATATTTGATTCAGACCTAGGTGTTGGGCAGCATAGTCTGTTCTCTTGGGCTCTGCACTGTATTTCTGTTCACTGATACAGCTTTTTACCTTTGTTCTGAAAATAGATCACAGGCAATATCACAAAACAAGAAAGCTTTCATAATGTTGTCAGTTGCTTTTTCTTCTGGGAAAGACAGAATTATATCAGTGTGGGATAGGAGAACTGAAATACCCCAATAAAAGCTTCAAAGCTTTCACAGACAGTATGCAAGCACTCTCTCTGTCTGATTTTAATCTCATTCTTCTCCCCAGGGCTTTCTAGGATCATAATTACTGTCGTATAGATTCTCATGGAAAATCTAACTTCAAGATTCCTGGGTCAGCCAGCAATCAAGTGAGCCAGGCAGGTGCACTGTTTCACCTCCAGGTCACTCTGGGCATGAGGGTGCAGGTGGACTGCCCCTACTCTCCTGGTGCTGAAGCTGCCCTCTTTCAGCTAGTGCTGTGAGGTCAGGGAGTATCTGTCTCACAGAGGTTCAAAATCAATGATGTTTATTCTA